CAACTTCGGGTTTCCCAGGGATAGAAATATTGTGGAAAAACTTTCCTGGCGAACCCTCCTGCACCCTCATGCGGCTTATTCTGATTTTTGCTTCTCCCGGAGTTTTTCCCCACTCCACAACCCATGTGCCTCTCCTCCTCTCTAAAACGTCACCGGCCCGGAAGGCCCCCAGCACCAGTCGTGACCCCGTAGCAAGACTTCCTCCTGCCTGCCTAGGCTGCTCACCTGCCTTCTTTCTAACAGCCCTGCTGTCACGTGTGTGATGCAAGTTAAAAAAGTCACACAGTCACAGCGACTCTCTTGAGAATTATTTCACAGGACTCCTTTTGCAGAGGACCAGAGCAGAGAGACTGAGGACGTCTCCACCCTCACCATCATTTGGTGTTGTGTCACATCAGCCTTGTGCAAAATGGGGAAAGTGCTGAGAGTGAGCAGAAGAGTCTCCCGCTATTGGGCTCATCCAGGTAACCACAATGACTGAGTTTTTGCTCAACGCACAGAGGCCATCGGACAATCCGTCCCCCAGTGAAGTTGGAAACACAATCTCAGGACTCTGAGGACAATGGAGATGAACTGGAGGACGGCACAGGTGACGCCTTAGGAGAAATGATCAATGACCGGACTGTGCTTAGGGTTAGCCTTCTATAGAGACAACATGCTTGCGTATACACAAGGTCACACTCATTCTTGTTCCTTACCGAATCCACCACAGACCATTTCACATTCCAGTTTGGTGGAGAAGCGATTCTCGTTGCCACCACACAATCCATAAGCAAACATTTCACACTTTTTGGTCTCCCAGTTGTGGTAATAGTGCATTGAAAATCCTTGACAAGGACCTGTTTCTTTTGGCAGTCTGCAAACCTCTGTAGGGAGGGAACGAGAACAGGAGAGAAGGGAAATGAGACGGACATAGAAAAAACATCTTCCTTCCAGGAAGGGGGTTGTGCCCCATTTCCCTGAAAGCCTTAGATGGGCCCAAAGGTCTAAGTGTCAGGTTTCCAAAAGACGCCCTAATTAATTCATGAGCCTCGAGCCATGTTTCAAAAGAAAACCAGTCAACTCATAAAGTTGCCACTAAGATTTGATCCTGTGTGGGACTGAGTGGGTCCTGTGGAAAAGTGGCCTCAGAATGCCCGGCAGAAACGCTGGCATCTGTAGCAGCCTGAGGGAATGGCCTTGAGGGACAGGAGCAGGGAGGCAGGTGAAGGAATGGCTGGATAAGAGGAAGGAAAGGGGGCCTGGGAAACATCTCAGAAGGGACCACGATGGACCGACTCACTCAGAGGGAAGGGAAGTGTTAGCTTCCCAGCCTGACCACACCAGGAACTCCAATGCAACCCTCGTCCTCTGTACCTTTGCTGATTTCCCCACAGGCCTTTTCGCACAGCTCCTTGGTCTCAAAGTTGTTGCGGTTGCCCTCACAGTCCCGATAGATGAATGAGACACACTTCTTCTTCTCCGGGTCATAGTAGAAGCGCGTCAAACTCTTTTTGCAGCTGCCCTGCGCCATGGGTAACTGACACACCTCACTGCGGACTGCAAGAGCGTGAGAAAAGGGAGTTTGTGTGGGCTCCGGCTCAGGGCTCTCCCTGCTGCCTGGCGCTCAAGCAGGGAGAGGTTGGAGGGGGAAGGAAGCAGGTGGTGGAAGGAGGCCTGGACGCACCTGAGGGCAGGCAGCCTCGGCCGCAGCCAGTGAAGCAGCACTTCTCAGTCAGGGGGCAGTCCTGGTCATCATCGCAGGTGTCGTTGCAGGGAACGAAGGGCTGCACTTCAACCCTCCTGAGACACACGCCGGGGTGTTCTAGAACGAGAGGGAGTGTCACGTCCCAAGAACCAATCAAGACACATAAAGTTACTTCAGAGCGGTTTCCTTTGGTGTTCACCACCACCAGATGGAATCTTGCCAGACTAAAGCAACTTTGTTATAGATAATAGCCCTTAGACTTATATACCACTTCACAGCGCTTCACAGCCCTCTCTAAGCAGTTTAAGGAGTCAATATGTTGCCCCCCAACAATCCGGGTCCTCATTTACACTGACCTCAGAAGGATGAGTCAACCTTGAGCCTAGTGAGATATTGATCTGCCAAACTGCAGGCAGCCGGCAGTCAAAAGGATTGATTGATTGATTGATTTTATTATATTTATATGCTGCCCTTTTCCCCCGAAGGGGACTCAGGGCGGCTCACAATTCAAATCAGGGAAGGGGG